TACTTAATTCATACATAGTGAGAACTCAGTTTAATTTTCATGTTAATTTTTCACTACCTAATGAAAACGAGCATTTTTCCATGCTTACACTGGCCACTGAGATATCTTCCTTTATTAATTACTTGCGTAAATTTTTTGTCTATTTTTATTTATGTTATCTGTTGTTATTAAAGTTTATTAAAGTTATGTTATTATAGAAGCTTGCCATGTCTTCTTTCAGTTTGTGTACAATTTAGCAATGAAACAGGCTACACTTTGCCGGCAATTCATTGTTTTTTTTTTTTCCTAATGTCCTATTTGCCTTAAGGAAAACCATTCAAATATTTATTTTGTGCCAAACTAAAGTTGCTTCCTTCCTTCATGCAGACTGTCTGACTCCTTCTACTAAATTCAATTACATTTCTGATTCCTTGTTCTCTTGATGAGAACTTGAAAGTCATGGAAAGGGTCACAACCCATGATGCCATCTACTGCTGTGTGGTGGTTTCTCGGTTGAGCCCAATCTGAGCTGCTTTCCCCAGATTAACAATAGACATTTGTCTTGATGCATTTGTCTTGATGTCTGTAGCTCACTTTCAGACAACTTTTTTGACAAAGCTCTTGGTATTTAGATATTTTACAGTAATCTGCAAATATAGTACTTACTATGTAATATCCTACAAATACTGATAAAATGAATTTTATTTATTTATAACAATTACCTGATATCACTAAAGAACTTTAGTGATTTATGTGAGTATATTTATAAGGTCTGAAGGTCAGTATGTGGTGCTGTTCATTGAAAACTCACAATTTGATATGATCATTGTTTTTCTATTAATATGAGTTAATGTGGCCAGACATCATTTCTATCTTGAAAAAATAAACTTAGCATCACTCCATCGTGTTTTTCACATTGGCTCAACAATGCAGCACTGTTTGTGATTCAAGTTGTGTTGCAAAGGTTTAGACTGGAGAGGGGAGACATAGGAACAGTTTGTTCCTCTTGCTTGCTTGCTTCAAGCAAGTACAATGTCAACCTGAAGGTCATTGGTGTAGCTACCAGGTGCAAAGTACAATATAAAATCCTGAGTAAATTCGTGTGAAGTCTACTGAAGTAGCACTTCACATCTTAGGAATAAAATTGTCACTCCCATGACTGTAACAAGGTATAACATCTGCCAACAGTTTGTCTATAGAAAACAAATCCAAGAAGAGTATGACATGTAATGTTATTCCTTGTTTCTCATTATGGAGACATCATAGACATGCATTCAAGTGGATCTTAAGTAAGTGTATAAATAGCATTAACTTAAACAGTGCCACTAGCCAGATGTGGGACTGGAGAGACGGCTTCATGGATAAGGAAGGTATTTGCCATGCAAACCTAGCAACCTGAATGTCACCCAGTGAATCCATATAAGGATTGAATGAGAAAACTGGCTTCATAAGGTTGTTCTCTGTTCTCCATATTCACAATAACAAATGCACAAACATACATTCATAAAACAATAAAATATGTTTAAGCAGTCTAATGTGTCTGATCAGGAATTAAATGTTGAATGCCTTCTATGGCAAGGATAAATAATTTTCAAACATTATCTTGCTCAATCTGGTCCCAATTATCCTGTTAGGTATTCATTGGCATTTAAAGGTGAGACATTTGAGACTAGGGGGATTGTTCTACTGTAGCCACAGGGCTGTGTGGTCTCAGAGGGCAAGTTGGAATCTAAACTCAGGTGTGTACAAGCTTTGAGGCTCTCACTGTCACATAATGCTCTTACCAAACATGGAAGACCTAGTCTCTACATTTCCAACTGTAATTGAAAGAAATAGACTTTTAGGGTTGTTTAAAAAATATGGGAGGGCAGTGGTGGCGCACACCTTTAATCCCAGCACTTGGGAGGCAGAGGCAGTCAGATTTCTGAGTTTGAGGCCAGCCTAGTCTACAAAGTGAGTTCCATGACAGCCCGGGCTATACGGAGAAACCCTGTATCGAAAAACAAAAACAAAATAAAACAAACAAACAAACAAACACCTATGGGAAAAGCACAACACTGTAGTTCTACTTCTAGGACTAGCCACAGAGACTCAAAAGCAGCATATGTAGAAAGTCACATTTGGAAGAGGTATTTATGTATGTGCGTTTTTGTTATACTTTTTCTTTCTCTAGTTTCTTCTTGAGATTTCTCTGTGTATCTAGAACTGTCCTAGAAGCTGTCCTAGAACTCTCACTTAGACCAAGCTTGACTTGAACTCAGAGATCCACCTGCTTCTGCCTCTTGAGTGCTAGGTCTAAAGGCATGTCCTATCACTCGTGGTATATATTTGTCCTTAGTAGCATTAAAAATATCAGAAAGTATAATAAATGCAAATGTTGATTGGTGGATGAATGGGACAAACTATAGCACATGGCTAGACAATAGTAAACCGATAAAAGAAAGGTAAGAAAAATCTTGTCCATAAAACAATGTAGATGAAAACTGCGGAGTAATGAAATCACCCATAGAAAAGATATCATTTGGTTCTATTAAAACGGGCTACCAGCAATAGCCAAACTTATAGAGGTGGAAAAAAAAAAAAGCTGGGAGATGCTTAATGGGAAGAGAACTTCGACTTTGCAGTTCGAAAATATCCTTGTATATTTGATATAAGATGACAAATATATAAATGTGGGACGGTGGACTGTGAGAAGCAACTGGGTGCCTGGTCAAGCACAGGCCTTTGAATCCCGGACCTTTATCAGACGGCAGGTGTTTGGCTCTGCTCCGGGGCCCTGGTTCTTTTCATTCAGCTTCAGCCCTCCACAGCCCCTCCTACAGAGAGATCTATGGCCATCAGTCATGAGGAACAGTACTTCAGGCTCTCCCACATGTAGATGAGGTATCTCCAAGCTCCTAGACCAAGCCAATAGGCTTTATCTGCTGCCAGACCCTCACCTACCCTGAAACTACATATAAGGGCTCTATTCAGGAGAAGTAAAAGGTGACTGAGAATCATCCTGGTGTCATAGAGTTTCTGTCACAAGAGCTGTAACACTTGGGAAGAGATCTGCTCTCCCAGAATCTGCCTGAGACACCAAGCTGCCTCCTTGCCAGCTAGCTGGCTTCTTATCAGCCCAGCCCTGGCAGAGAGACAGGTGCAGCACCTTGGAGTGAATGAGCAGCGACAGCGGAGATGCAGCAAACAGAGGCAGTAGCAGAGGCAGGTGATCTTCCCTCCCTGCTCACACTCTGTTCCCTTGGCCCAGACCTCAGCACCAGGCTGGGCTGAAGATCGTTGTGGGACGCCCTCATATAAACATTAATTGGCTTAGCTGTATGCTTACAGGGCTTTAGACAGTTAAACTTAATGTGTTTTGCTATAACTTAAGAACTGATTAACGTACTATTTGAAAGAAATGACCATACTGTCTAGTACCATGTTATGTGATCAATAACTGTAGCTTTTCTTGTTTTGCCCAATAGTTTCTTTTTACTTTGGCTAAGTTTTTTTTTTTTCAGGCCCCATCATCTGGTAGAATTGAGTGAAATAACAGAATTGAATTTCTGAATCATCAACCATGAACACTTCAATGAATTACTAGTATTTATGAGGTTATAACTATATGTCTCTTAAATCTCCCACACTCATCATACCTTTTTTAATTCCTTCAGCAGTTACATACAATATCAATTGTCAGCTCAAACTGGTATGTGGATATAGTTCTCTATAAATAATTTGCAGAGAGCAAGTAGCAGAAAAAGATGACTAGAGAATAAGATTAAAGATACCATTTTAATGTAAAATATCTTTTAAAAAAATCATACAGGATTATTTTCCAGAGCATGTTCAGACATGTGATCCCCTGGAACAAATGTACTATGTTCTAAAGCCGTTTGCTACACAGAGTTTCATAAATGTTCAAGCTAGGAAAAATTTTAAGACCAGTGACTACTTATGTCATTAACCTTCTTTCTCTGCAACACTGTAGCCTCAGCTTCAGATGACTGTCACCTTGAGTTACAAAGATCTGTTACATATCTGGTTGTATATCTTCAATTTACATATTATACCAAGACACTAAACTGAAACTTCTAAAATCTTTTAAGAAATTTCAAAACATTGGGACTTCAAAAGTATTATTATATAAACACTTTGTTAGCAAATTACATAATATATATATATACATATAGGCATATATATATTCATATATACTAAACATATATGTTTAACCAACATTGTCTGAGGTTCATATATGTAGTACCTGGCTTAATGTGTATATTGAAAACATTATTAATTCACCAATTCTTTTTTAAGAATTGTGTTATGCAACTTTGATCACTTATGTTAGGAACATAACAGATACTGTCTATTAATGTTTGTTAGTGCACACAAAGCTACATGGTCCCAATATGAAATCAATAAGAAAATATTTTTGATACTTTACATATAAGTTACCTGAATGTATCAAAAGATTTTATATGTACTACACTTTTAAATTTTTTATACATTTGTGCATTGTTCCAAAGTTGCCGAGTCTGCTGAGCTTATAAAAGAAATGAACTTTTTCATTTGTATTATTTCATGATGCAATATTATTGCAATCTAATTTTGCTTTAAAATTTTCTATTATAATGACAAAATAGTTTATGGTAACATATTTTCATACAAAACTATAATGTTCTAAGGAAAACAGTTTCCATTGTGATTTCAGGAAAGCTGTTTCTCTAAGGCTCACATCTTCAACATTTAGGTCAACATAGAGTCTGTGATGGCAGCTGTTATAAACTGCTAATGACATGCACATAGTGGCCTAGGCTGATCTGTGACCAGCACAATAATAATTAAAACAAAATGCAGAAGATGTAACAGAAATATTTAATAACACATTTGGAGTAAAGATTTGTTCATTTCATTCCCCCATTTCAACTTTAATTATTTATAAAAGTAAAAAAATTAAGTGGGATAAAATCCCATTAAATTCTGTTGGACAGCATGTATTTTCTGGATATGAATGGGCAAGTAACAATTTTTAACTTCACAAGACAGAGCACAAATGCAATCCTTACACTACCACACATTTTACCATCAAAATTCCTGCCTGCCTTTGGGAAAATTACAGGGGCCAACACATTCATAGTGCAATGGATAACACTTGCCCTGGGAAACCCACCATTTTGATCTTGTTTTCTCTATGAGGTAAGTGCTAATCATATCTTTTAAGAACGTTGAAGATAATGTTTTAATAGTAAGCTTATGCACTGAAACCTATGTGCGATAAAACACACTGCTTCTTTTACTTCAGGGAATCTTGTCGCCAAATGAGTAACTGGAATACAGTCAACTCTTTCTTGTTGAGGGGAGGGTGAGCTTTTACCTCTCAGGGAACTAGATGGTAGGAGCATTGGGAGCTTTTCTATTCATTGTATCAAGCATTTTTTTTCCTTCTATCCAAAGGAAAGTTCTTGTTTCACAATTGTAAGGACATTTTGGAAAAAGTCCATGGAAAATTTAGTTGAAAACTTTCCTGGTATTCAATCAAAAGTATGGTGATACAATTTTATGAAAACATCTCTTACATTGAGGGTGACTGTGATTTTGACTGAGTCTCACAACTAAGCTACTGATACAATTTAAGAGCACTTAAGACTTAGCCAGAGAAGCTCCTGTGTATTCATCCTGTTTATTTTCCAATTTTTAAAAAGAAAATGTAATAACCAACCTTACCTGCCTTGGATTTCCAATGTACTTATCTTTTATAAGCTAAGCTAATGCATGGCTACAATTTTAAATTATGTATTGTGACATGCCCCTCATGTGTGTTATGATAATCATTTGTTAAAAATAACAACTTGAAAGGAGCCTTATACAAACATATTATCATAAATATTGGTAACAGCATAAGGATATTGCTCAGTACAAGTATGGTTTGGGTCAGTTGAAGTAAATAACTTAATCTCTTGTAAAACTCTCAGAAATATTTCTGTAAAGTATCTTTAATTCTTTCTTTGAGTTTTGCTTTCTGTGCTGCTCATTAAACACAGAGCAAAGCTCTTCGTTAGGTACACAGCAAGAGGGATAGTCAGACATCAGATAGGCATAGGCAGACAACCAAACAAAACTACAGAAAGTCTGGAAACCACAAGCTATAAATAAGCAGAAGACACTTAGGGAGAAATGGAGAATTCAAGATAGGGCTTGTTCTTGGTCATATTAATCGAAAAGAAAATGCTTAATTTTCTTTCCTTAATGTGACATGGGTAAATTTTGGTGCCTTTGAGTCTATCTTTAATGTGCTTAAACAATACAAAAGAAATTTAAGCTAATTAATTCAAAGGCAAGTAGTTTTTGACATCGTGAAACATTTCAGAGACTGTAATGGCGCCTCATCTTGACCAGGCGTACTGTCACGGGTCCTGGTCCCAACTCTAAAACATGTGCACTAGTGAACGTTTTTTACTTTATGGATCTCTGAAGAGTGCTCCATTCTGAAGGTATCTATTGAATATAATTCTCCAATTCTTAAAAATAATGGTTGTATTTACTATTTTGAAATTTTTATATACTATATTTTGATTATATTCATCCCCTTCCCTAGATTCTTCCCCATTCCTTTACTTATTCAATTTAATATTTTCTATTCTCTCTCTCTCCATCCCTCCCTCACCCTCCCTGTCTCTCTTTCTCTCTTCCTCAATCCATTAAGACCGTTTTTCTTGACCAAGTATTCCTGGGCACGTAGCTTGCTTTGGCATATAGTCAACATACTACATATTAGCCAGTGGAATAAAATTGACTTTTCTTAACCCAGCAGCAAATAAAATGCCAACAGACCCTCAAATAGAAATGTTCACCTCCCTTCCTCTGTGTTGGGATTTTGTTTGGCTTCAGCTTATGCATGTTATAAGGCATGCTTATGTCTTCTATATGTTATCACATATATTATGAATCCACATAGGGATATGACAGGTTGTGTCTTGAAAACAGTTTTTTAAAAAAAGTTATCTGTTGTATGTAGTTTTAAAAGCATGCGACCACATTAGCCCAGGAACAGCATCCAGCTCCCTTTTGTTCTACCCGGTTTAGCTCTGGGATCGATTGTAACCAGCCCTAACCTGGCTTCCTTTTGTCTTTTTTTTTCTTTTTTTTTTATTGGATATTTTATTTACATTTCATGTGTTATCCCCTTACCCCATCCCCCACCCACCCGGGAACCCCCCATCCCCTTACCCCTCCTCCTTCTTCTCCGTGGATGTAACCCCCACCTACCCCCCCCACTCCCACTTCCCCACCCTCAAAATTCCCACCCCCTGGGGCGTCCAGCCTTCATGAGGTCAAGGATCTCTCCTTCCACCTGTGCCCAGCAGGGCCCTCCACTCTTACATATTCAGCTGAAGCCCTGGATCCCTCCATAAGTGCTCCCAGGCTGGTGGTTAGGACCCTGGGAGCTGTGGTTGGTTGGTATTGTTGCTCTCCTCATGGTCCCACAAACCCTTTCAGCTCCTTCAGTCCTCACTCTAACTCCTCCATTGAGAACCTCATGATCAGTTCAATGGCTAGTTGTGAGCATCTGCCTCTGAATATGTCAGACTCTTGAAGGCCTCTGAGGAGACATCCATATCAGGCCCTTATCGGCATGCACTTCCTGACTTCCACATCAGCATCTACCTTTGGTGACTGCACATGGGATGGATACTCAGGTAGAAAGGTCTTCAAATGGCCCCTCCTTCAGTTTCTGTCCCTCACTTTGTCTCCATATTTGCTCCCTTGAGTATTTTGTTGCTCCTTCTAAGAAGAACTGAATCACCTCCACTTGGTCTTCCTTTTTTATGAGCTTCATGTGGCCTGTGAGTTGCATCTTGGGCATTTCAAGGTTCTGGGCTAATATCCAATAATCAGTGAGTGAATACCATGTGTGTTCTTTTGTGATTGTCTTACTTCACTCAGGATGATAATTTCTAGTTCCATCCATTTACCTTTGTTTTTAATAGCTGAGGAATACTCCATTGTGTAAATATACCACATTTTTTGAATCCATTCCTCAGTTGAAGGACATCTGGGTTCTTTCCAGCTCCTGGCTATTATAAATAAGGCTGCTATGAACATAGTTGAGCATATGTCCTTGTTATATGTTCGAGCATCTTCTGGGTATATGCCTAGGAGTGGTATAGCTGGATCCTCAGGTAATGCTATGTCCAATTTTCTGAGGAACCGCCAGACTGATTTCCAAAGTGGTTGCACCATCTTGTAGTCCCACCAACAATGGAGGAGTGTTCCTCTTTCTCCACACCCTCGCCAGCATCTACTATCACCTGAGTTCTTAATCTTAGCCATTCTGACTGGTGTGAGATGGAATCTCAGAGTTGTTTTGATTTGCATTTCCCTGATGACTAAGGACACTGAACATTTCTTTAGGTGCTTCTCGGCCATTCGAGTTTCTTCCATTGAAAATTCTTTGTTAAGCTCTATACCCCATTTTTTAATGGGGTAATTTGGTTGTCTGGAGTCTAATTTCTTGAGTTCTTTGTATATATTGGATATTAGCCCTCTATCAGATGAAGGATTGGTAAAGATCTTTTCCCAATTTGTTGGTTGTCGTTTTGTCCTATTGACAGTGTCCTTTGCCTTACAGAAACTTTGCAATTTTATGAAGTCCCATTTGTTAATTCTTGATCTTAGAGCATATGCCATTGGTGTTCTGTTCAGGAACTTTTCCCCTGTGCCCAAGTATTAGAGGGTCTTCCCCACCTTCTCTTCTATTAGTTTCAATGTATCTGGTTTTATGTGGAGGTCCTTTATCCACTTAGACTTGAGCTTTGTACAAGGAGATAAGAATGGATCAATTTTCATTCTTCTACATGTTGTCCTCCAGTTGAACCAGCACCATTTGTTGAAAATGCTGTCCTTTTTCCACTGGACATTTTTAGCTCCTTTGTCAAAGATCAAGTGACCATAGGAGTGTGGGTTCATTTCTGGGTCTTCAATTCTATTTCATTGATCTTCCTGCCTGTCTCTGTACCAATACCAGGTAGTTTTTATCACTATTGCCCTGTAATACAGCTTGAGGTCAGGGATGGTGATTCCTCCAGAAGTTCTTTTATTGTTGAGAATAGTTTTCGCTATCCTGGGTTTTTTGTTATTCCATATCAATTTGAGAATTTCCTTTTCTAACTCTGTGAAGATTGAGTTGGGATTTTAATGGGGATTGCATTGAATCTGTAGATTGCTTTTGGCAAGATGGCCATTTTTATTATATTAATCCTGCCAATCCATGAGCATGGGAGATCTTTCCATCTTCTGAGATCTTCTTCGATTTCTTTCTTCAGGGACTTGAAGTTCTTGTCGTACAGGTCTTTCACTTGCTTGGTTAGATTCACACCAAGGTATTTCATATTATTTGGAACTATTGTGAAGGGTGTCATTTCCCTATTTTCTTTTTCAGTCTGTTTATCTTTCATGTAGAGGAAGGCTACTGATTCCTTTGAATCAGCAATAAAATTCTTTTTAATTTTTGATAAAACATACAGAAAGCTTTGCTATCGTAACTTGCCTGTTAGGCAATTGCTGGCCACAAATATCTCCTGGCTGGAAATGCATGCCCTTACCAATTTTTTATCTTCGTCTCTCCTTCCTTATACTTAGTGGCTTTTTCCAATTAGCCCCTGTCAAACATCTTTGGCCACCTGCCAATAGTGGAGGCCACAGGCTATAGCGCTCCCTGAGTCCTTACATGATTGTAGTGTCCTCCTTCCTTTAAAGCATGGCAGAAAAATCCCTCTCTCATTCCCCATGTCTCCTCTGAGGATCTGGAAGTCCCACCTATACCTTTGACCCAGCAATTGGCTCCTGGTGTTCTTGATTGACAAATCAAGAACCAATTAGGGAACTAGACCTTAGTATCAGAACTTACCCTTATAGATCTGTATCTCTTAAAGACTCTCTATTCCCTCCTCTCCACAAATCCTTAAGCCTTGGATGGAGGGATGTGATTAACATCCAATTTAGGGCTGAGCATTCTGGAATATATTATTCTATGCATGTGGAGAAGTTGTGGATCTTTGTGTTACTTCACATTAACTACAAGAAATTTCTCTTATGAGGGTTGATAAATTAACTGATGTGTAGGTCTAACAAAGTCATTAGGGTTTGTTTATTGCTATGGCCATTTAGCAGAATAGTAATAGGCTACTGAAATAACTAGCTATTG